TCTTCATCTCTGAGCTCAGTAAACACTTTCCTGATGAGTTTATGGTCTCAGTCGCTGGTTTCAGGTCTTAAGAAATAAAACGAGTTCATTTTGGAAATGATGATGTCATTAGAGACACAAAGCAGCAGATTCGGGACAAGCTGTGCGCTCGTTAACACAAAGCTGATGTTTGTTAGGACGCTTCCTGGAGATGCACATGTACATGACGTCGGCGCTCAGCAAGAACGACATGAAGGCCATCGGCCTGCAGATGGCGCTCGACCTTCTGGCCAAGAAGGAGAAGAGAGACTCGATCACTGGACTGAGGACCAGAACCCAACCGGGCCGACCCGAGTGGGGGAAGGTGAGGCGTTGCGTTGGTTTAACTTGGTCTTCTTCTTTTCTGTTATTGGTATTTTTCAAGGAGAGTTTGGGACCCTTCCTGAATAGTTTTGGAAGGTTTTGGTAGAGTGTCCTCTTTGGGTGACATGAGATCCTGGACCTGATAAAGTAACGTTGGGCTAAATCAGACAGGCTCAACACGGCGAAAATGTTTTGGCTTTAAATAAAGGCTACAAACAGGAAACAGCGTCCATGGACATCTGCTTCTCGGGGGGACATTCGCACCAGACTCTGTCAGGAGTCACCACACATGAGTTCATCACAAATTCGGAAAGTTCTCCTTAAAATTAAAAGACTGAAAAATTTAGCAATGAAGGGGTCTTTAATTTTTGAAGCATCATTTGATGTTTGCTATCTCTGAGGTTTCAGGCTGCCATGGATGGCCATTTAAAACATTTAAGGTCCTGGATGTTAGTTCCTAAAGGAAACTACTTCTTCTGGAGTTTATTTTATTGAAGCAGAGGGGAGACCGAGACATGATGGTTCTCCAATAGTGGTTTAGTTTTATCAATCGAGGAGCGTCAGTGTGTTTTGCAGTATCAGCTCCTAATAAAATACTCTGTGTGTTTCAGGTGTTTCAGAAGGTGTCTGAGGAGAACAAAGGGAAGGTACATGTGTTTTACTGCGGCGCTCCCGCTCTGGCCAAAGTCATCAAAGCTCAGTGTGAACACTTCGGCTTCAACTTCTACAAGGAGAACTTCTGAGGAGGTCACGGGCCGTCAGCACACACCTGCAGCTGTGTGTGTGTGCGTGTATCGCTGATGTGGTGGAGACATTAATCATTTTATGTGTTCACATTTTGTTGGACCCGCCTCCTTTTTGGGGGTGTGACGTACAGAGTATGGGGCTTGGTTGAAAGTGACCTATCGTGAGAGCAGCTTCGCATGATTTACAGCTCAAAATAATCCTTCTTTATCTGAAACTGGCCCTGGGAACTTCCTTTCAAAGTGGAATAAAGACAATTTGTGTTGTATTTGTATTTGTTGTAACTTCTGCTGCCCTCTTGGGAAAAAAAAGAGACCTGGTCTCTCAGTGAGACTTTTCCCTGCACAGGTTAGAGAAATATCCCAGTAATGTTTATGGACCTTATGGGTTTGTATGGAAGCTTGTTTCTACTACTGGAAAAAGAAAGTGCCACCCACGAGTAAACAAAGTTAACAAAAAAAATGCTATTTTTAAAAACTTTTCTCTGAGTGATTTTTATGAAAAGTTTGACTTCTTAATTTGAAATGTTAGGATACTAAACCTAAATTTGGACTTTTTCACAAAAATACTTGTGTATGGCACATCTTTATTTAATAATAAAATCTAATCTTCTTTGTTATTTTACTTATTTTCGATTTTAATAATTACTGTGTCTGATCCATCTGTGGCAGGTTATCGTGTTAATGATGTTTATGTGTATGAACTGTCCAAATAAAAACAAATAAATAAACATTTCTGATCTCTTTAATAAAAGCAACTGTTTCCAGGCTTTCTAATCGATGTCAGAGCTGCTTCCTGCTGCCCAACAATAAATGATGGGACTCCAGTGCTTGAATTACCCTCACAATAAAGCGTGAAACCGCCTTTCTTGAAAACAGTTTCTTTGCTGGCTTCGTTTCCGGGCAGCGGCATTAAACCCCTGGCGCAGGTGAGCAGACTCTTTCGTGATCGACGATTTTGTATCTGGGCTCTGTTGGTAGGTCTGAGTATGTGGCTAGCGAGCAGCTAGCAGGTTACGCAGTAGCAGTTTGACGTCGGGCAGCCTCTTTAAAATCGGACCAATGCCTTAGAAAAGCTTCTCTGTTCGCCCCCGTCTTGTAATACGAGCGCTGCCCGTTGAGGCCAGCGGTCGGTGCTCGGTAGAAGATCGGGATAAAGCGGAGGATCTTAGCGTACCGGCGCTCGTTGGTCTCCGTTTTGGCCGAGCTAGCAGAGCTAGCTGTTCAGTAGCTCGTAGCGCCGCAATGGATCCATAAAGGAAGGTAGGCCCGGCTCACAGCAGCAGCCTCTCATTCACGCCCTGTTTGCTCTCTGAATGGACTCCGGGCGGGTTAAAGTGTTGGATCTGTGGGCTCGGTTCGGCACGACGCTGCCTGGGAGCTACATGTAGGCGCTGAGGGGCTCCTCGGACGGTTCCGATCAGCTGAGGTCCACTCTTAGGTTCTGCTCGCTTCACCGCGGCTCTGGTTCCGTGAGCACAGCGGGGGTGTGAGGCTTTGTGCCGGCTGGAGGCCCTCAGGCTCACAGCCAGCTGTGTGAAGCTGAAACATTTCTGTATTTTTATCATTTGACTCGGACTGTGACAGGTGTGTTCACGCTGATGACGTTTCTGCCTCCGAACCTCTTTATTTCAGGTTCACGCGCCTCAGCTCTGGGTTAGGCTCACCTGAGGAGCCAGAACAGCCTCACCTGGCAAATTACAAAGTGATGACGTTAAATCACCGGGTCTGTGGGTCTCCAGACCCTGTACAGACGAAACAAACAGCCTGACTAAGCTCATGTAAAAAAACAAAAACAGCTGTTTGTTCCAAAGCAGATGTTTGTAGAGACTGAGCACAGCTGGTATCAGTCTGCACATTACTCTTCATGAGAGGAGCACAGTGACACACGGAGACAGACTCCCTCAGAACTGAAACTGTGAAGTGTTGTGTGTCTCAGAGTACAAATACTGTGATAATTACTGCGCCAACAGTATCTGTAACAGGATAATATTTAGATCAAGTGGCTGGTACATAAAAAGTGGGATGAAAAAAGACGAGGGTAGTGGGAGGCTGGGAAAGACTTACAGTGAGCTGTATGAGAGGCTGGGCACGGAGGATGGAGATGGAAAGGATGCGCAGCAGGTTGGAGTAATTAAGGACAGAGATGCAGACTACTAATGACTGAAAAGACTGTACAGCAATGATGGAAGTGGTACGTGGAATGGATGAAAGCTAGTTGGTGAACCAGGAAGTGCAGAGGACTAGTGAGGAGGAGGGGAAAGGTGGTTGGTCCTAATGACATACCTGTGCAGGTGTGGAGATATCCAGGAGAGCGGGCAGGCTGTGGTCCTGAAGAACAGGCTGAGCTGTAGTAACTGCAGAGGGATGAAGATGTGAGACAGAGATGTTGAAGCTGGGTAAGAAGAGAGCTGATGATCAGTGAGCAGCAGCTTCATGCTCCACAGACGTGAAGTTTGCTTTGAGTGTTGATGGAAAGTTTAGAGAAGGTCACTGTGGTGCACGAGGACACACCTAAGGGCGGTGCGGGGCACGTGTGCGCTCGGAGAGACAGATGTGTTGAAGGTGGGGGTGGGATTACGTCAGGGATCTGCTCTGAGCTTCTTCCTGTTTGCAGTGGTGCTGGACAGGCTGCCAGGAGGAGCAGGTGGAGGTATGCTCTGAAGGTGGTGGAAGGAGCCGAGGTCATGAGGGCTTAAGTTTGGTCGACCATCCAAAGAGAGTGTGGGTGGAGATGTGTGACAGAAGGGTAGCAGCAACAGTGAAAGGAAAGGTTCAAAGGTGAGGAAGCAGCAGAAGTCTCCAGCTTCCTGTCCGGGTCAGGGCTCGGCACGTTCCTCTTGTCAGTAGTGTAGTCTAAGACTACGTCATAATTTTGTAGGTGGCGCTGTGGAGCGTGTGACGCCATGAAATACGAGGTTTGAGCAGTCCTGAGCCGAATGTTGGTGAAAATCACACATGGTTAGATTTAAATGATCTCCACCGGGTGGTGATGCTGACGGCGCTGTGACCTCCCTCGTCCTGCAGCTGCACGCACGCCATTTGGGTCTAAGTGGTTTTAAATGGAAGCTCAGCTTCAGCGTCGTCAGTAAATGTGTTTGCAGCATCTGTTCCAGCTGCAGGCGACCAGTGAAACCAGTGAAACCAGTGAAACCTTCCCAGCTGCTGAGAGACGACTCTGTGTTCTGACAGTAAACTGATCTTTACTGAAGCTCGGCTGATGAAGGCCTTTTAATGGTGCGACCTTCAGCCGTCATCGCTGCTCTTATCAGTTTAATATAGTTTTAATACGGCGAGTGATGGATTGAGATCAGTCAGCTGATAAATCTGTGTTTGTGTGTGACTGGCTCTCTCCTGTTTCTGAGTAAATAAACCTTTAAGGCCAAATTATTAACAATTTGTTATCATAATTTTGGTGAATTTGATGGAAAAAGTGTGGAAATGAAAACCAGCCGACTTCAGACTAACAGCCGCTCAGTGAAACACAGCAGCTGATGATCATTCCTGCCCAAAGCCCGCCCCCTCGCTCTCCTGGCCTCGACTTCGCGCCGCAGCGTCACAGTAACCGTTTCTTTCAGCTCGATTTATTTCAGGTTGTTTTTCTCAGCCCAGACTCTGCATGGCGTCGGATTGGCAGCAGCGGGAGTGAGCAGCCAATCAGCCGAGGACACCGGTAGCATCATGGCGTCTCGTCAGAGGAACTCGGTCCGGATCCTGTCCAGCCGGGAGCGCGGCTCGCAGATCTTTGGCTCGCAGCGCCTCCTGCAGCTCCTGGTGGAGGAGAAAGTCCGCTGGATGAAATGGCAGAGTCAGGCAAGTTTCAGCTTCTTCTCTCCTCTAAGAACCAAACCGTTTTCAGACAGCGCCCCCTACAGCCTGCTCCCAAATGACATGCTAATAATTTAGCTTTTATTGCTCAGGCTTTCTGATGACTGTGTCTTCCTCCTGTTTGTGCGGTGACGCACTCATCAGTGCTTTGCAGATAAGAATCATCGTTAAAAATGTGTCACAATCAGTTTTTATCAACTTTGTTTTTCCTTGAGTTTTCCCAGCAGCTGCTGGGATGTATGTGGCTGAGTTTAACACCAGGCCTGCCTACCAGCTTTGGCCACAGTGGGACAAATACGCCCGTCTGAGGCGCTTCTGCTGCACAGTAGAGAAGTGAGAGCTGTGGGGGTCGGAGCATCGTGGGGAGGAACTGAAAACAAAATCGTCCAGATCCAGCCCGCAGGGCTCAGGAGGGCGTTGTTGGGGAGCGGTCGGATTGTTGGCAGCAGGCGGCGTTGCTGATGTGTTGGAGTGTGTGCTTATGAGCGCGTCCCACTGAGTGTGAATGTTTGTGTCTCCAACAGAAGGTGGAGCTGCCGGACAGCCCTCGCTCAACGTTCCTGCTGGCCTTCAGCCCTGACAGGTGAGTCAAGTCACAGCACAGGTGGAGGCGGAGACTCCGTCAGTACTGGGTCTTTTTACCAGAGTATTATCGATGTAGTGTTTAATCAGGAGACTTTACCAAACAGACGTAAGAACAGAAAAGAGCTGAAGTGTAGCTGAGTTTGAGGTGCTGATACTGCAGTAAAGTGTCAGCTGGGCCTTTCAGAGGAAACGTTGTGTCTGCAGGACCCTCATGGCGTCGACCCACGTCAACCACAACATTTACATAACAGAGGTGAAGACTGGAAAGTGCCTCCATTCCTTAGTGGGCCACCGTAGAACCCCCTGGTGTGTGACCTTTCACCCCACAATTCCTGGC